GAAATCCAAATACCAGAGGAAGAAAAAGAAAAAATTCTCGCGGTTAAATTTGTAGATTATAATTCTTGGGAGGTCAAGGAAGGGAGTGGACTCTACCGAAGTTTTTTTACTAATTTTGACGAATATCTAAAACCATTAAATTCGGCAAAAAATGATTATTTGTTAGTTGCTACCAGCCGTCCAGAAACTATTTTTGCCGATGTGGCCTTATTTATTAATCCCCACGACCAGCGTTTTCAAAAATATTTAAATCAGTCGGTAAAACATCCTTGAACTGGAAAAATTATTCCAATTTTAGCGGATGAAAGCATTAAAATTGATTTTGGTAGCGGAGTTTTGAAATGCACTCCGGGGCATGACTTTACTGATTATGAGTTAGGAAAAAAATACCAATTGCCAATAATTAATTGTGTCAATGAAAAGGGTATATTAAACGAATTAGCAGGACCGTGGCAAGGACAAGAAATTAGTAGCATTCGCGAAGAATTTGTGGCTAAATTAGTGGAAAAAAAAATCTGTGTAAAAATTGAGGAGTATGAGACCAACTTGGCTTATTCTTCTAAATCAGGAGCGGTAATTGAACCCCTGCTTTCTCAACAGTGGTTTTTGGATTTACCAGCCTTAATTAAGGAAATAGAAAAAAAACAGCCTAATTTCTTGTCAAAAATAGAGTTCATGCCTAATCAATTCCAAAAAAAAATTGCGGATTGGAAAAACAAAACTCATGAGTGGTGCATTTCCCGCCAATTATGGTGAGGACATCAAATACCGGCTTGGCTTCATAAAAAAACTGGTGAGGTTTATGTTAGTGAAAAATTTAATAAGAAATGTTCGTTATGTGAAAAACGAAAAAAAAATAAATCATCTCTTATTATTTGCGGGCATGAAAATTTTTGTAATTTGCAACAATGAGAACCAGAAAAAGATGTCTTGGACACTTGATTTTCTAGCGGATTATGACCGCTAATTGCACTTGCTGAGGAAGGAGAAAAATTTCCTTCTCCACCACCAAA